TGTATCATCAATTTCAACATTTGAATCAGCAAATATCATTGTCACATCAAGCTTCAGCTAACCAGATTGAAACAAATGAGGCATGACCACATTCATGTAAGAAAAAAAATATACTTGTAACATGTAGCTCATACACTAAAAAAATAAATAAATAAATAAATATATTTGTAACGGAATTCCGTCGCTAAAGATCACGTAGCTAACGTAATTTCATAATTAATTCCGTCTCTAATATCATTAGTAACGGAAAAAGTGAATTTAAAGACGAAAAAATCTCGTTACAAAAATGATATTTTCTTATAGTGATAGTACGATCATCAGCACTTCCATCAGAATAAAAAGAATATATTCAAGAGTACCACACACTGAAGATAGAATATGATTAAAATTAAAAAGCCTCATCATAAATAAACAAGCTGAAAATATATAAGCAATGAACAAAACCGATAAAACAGTAAGAAATCAAGGAAATCGAGACTAATGACGTGATATACAAGAAATTCATAATAAAAAATAAATAAATAAAATATTTTTTTACGAAAGTAAAAAATTCTAAAATAAAATTCAAATATTTATTACAAAGAGTAAAAAAAAATTAAATATTAAATTTAAAATAATATATTTTATATTTTTAATACAATTTTTGATATCACACATTAAAAATAAATTCATTTAAAAATAATGAGCGACTAGACCTATATATTTCTAAAATTATAAAATAATATGATAAAAATTGAATAAAATTGAAATGGAATATAATCACTATCTTATTTTTTAAAAAAAATGAAAGAATAAAAAGAATATGAATATTACTCGTTCTTTCTTTTCCGGCAATATATACTCCCTCTGTTCACAAAAAAAGTATACAATTACTTTTGGCGCGGTGTTTAAAAAATAATAGTATTTTAATTATAGTGGGTAGTTAAAAGTAGTGTAATAACATTTTTGCCTTTGCTTTTTAATGTAAAAGTAATGATGTGATGTAAAGTAAGGGTATTTGTGGAAAAATGTAAGGTATTTAATGAAATGTTTACTTTGTAATTGGATGTCCCAAAATAGAAATATGTATACTTTTTAACGGAGGGAGTATTATTTTATTGGTAAGAATAAAAAGAATATGTATTTTTTGGAATATATATTCAACAAGCTTTTTTTTTGTTGTTATTTTAAATTGATTGAAAAATAAGATGTTTATTTCACCTATTATTTAAATAGCATTTTGATATATTATTTTACAACAAGAAATTTTATCTTTTTGTTTTGGTTTTAAACTTTAAAAAAATAAACATGTTTTTGTTTTTGTTTTTTTTTCATTATGCTATTTTATATTCCGTCCATCAAGTATACATACTTTTATTTTGAATTAATCCAATTACAAAATAATCATTCATTTTTTTAAGAACTATAGATCATATTTTTTCTAGAAATACATATATTTTATTATTACATCATTACTTTTATATAAAAAATAAAGATAAAATTATTTTTACATTACTTTTAATTATTTATTATAATTAACATACTACTTTCTCCGTCCCCGTAAAAATAAAACCTTTTGTTTAGGCACGAAAATTTAAGTTGTATAGAGTAATTGTTTAGGTAGTGCGAATTAGCTATTTATTTATTAAAAAAATTAAATTATTTATTTAAATATTTTTAATATTATATTTCAATAACATATATACAATATAAATATTACTTTATAAAAAATTAAATTTTATATAATACAAATAAATAAAAATATATTAATTTATTTATCATTACTATAAATTAATTTTATAAAAAAAATTAAAAATTTTAAAGGTAATTAAAGGAGCCAAAAAAATAAATAAGTTTTGAGTGATTGTATTACAAATTTAATTAAAGTGATTTATATTTTGGAGGATTTCCCCTTATAAATAAAAAAGATTATCTTTTATGGGACCCACAACAAAATAAACTTTTAAAATGGATTAAAGGAGGTTTTTTTTTTTTTTTTCCGTAATGCTTCAATTTTTCTTTTGTCTCCGTCAAATAAAATAATAGAGCAAAAATCATTTTTATCATTTTTACTCCAGTTCAATATCATAATTATCAATATTTGTTTAATTTAAAATTTTTTTATATCAATTTTGGTCTCATTTAAACGAAAATTTATCAATTTTAGTCCAAGATGGTTGATTGGGACTGAACACAGCCATATTGGCTTGAACACGCTGTGTTGGATGATTCAGAAGGTGACTGGGCGTTCCAGGCTGTCAACACGGCAATATGGCTGTGTTGATTACCTTGCACTTATGAAAATGGCCGTGTTCTTACCCATATTCTGAACACAATCATATTTCTGCCCATGACCTACAATATAATTATATTGAAAACATAGTCGTTAATATAGCTTAAAACATGGCTGTGTTGATAACAGGGTCGTAAACATGGCCTAAAACATGGGCAGAAACATGGTTGTATTTAGAACACGGGCAAGAACACGGTCGTGTTTAAAAGTGTAGGGTAATCAACACGGCTGTGTTGACTGCTTGGGACGTCCAGTTACCTTCTTAGTCACCCAACACGATCGTGTGTGTTCAGTCTCAATCAACTATTTTGGGACTAAAATTTATAAATTTTTGTTTGAGTGAGACCAAAATTAATAAAAAAAAAAATTGAATTGGACCAAAATTGATAATTATCATATTGAATATTGAATGAGACAAAAATATTTTTTTCTCAAAATAATAATAACATTTTTAAGTAATACTCCCTCCGTCCAAGCTAAAAGTATACAATTACTTTTGGCGCGGAGATTAATGAATAATAGTATTTTAATTATAGTGGGTAGGTAAAAGTAGTAAAATGACATTTGCCCTTACTTTTTTGGTATAAAAGTAATGATGTGATGTAAAGTAGGAGTATTTGTAGAAAAAATGGGGTATTTAATAAAATGGTTATTTTGTAATTGGACGTCCCAAAATAGAAATATATATACTTTCTGGACGGAGGGAGTAAATAAAGAAAAAAAAATTTCTATTCAATTCTAATATTTAATTGTTTTTGTAAATTAAAAATTATTAATATTTTTAATAATAATAAATAATGTAAATAAAATAAATATTTTCTAGCATATCCTATCCTTCCTTAGTGCTTCAATTTTTCTCTTGTTCACATCAAATAAAATAATTACTATTTGTTTAAAGTAATAAATAAATAAAAATAAAAATATTTCTTTTGTTAAATTCTATCATTTATTTATTTTTTTAAATAAATTAAGATATATTAATATTTTAACAGTAATAAATAGATATAATAATAATATAGGATTAAATTATAAATATATAGGGTGTGTTTCTTTAACCCCAAATTTAAAGTTTTTACTGTGGAAACACTAGATTGTTCACCGTCCAATCGGCAACATGCCGATTGTACTTTCTTTTTTTAACATTAAAATATAATTTAATATTTATTATAGTTAGAGGAGAAAAAGATATATATTGTTGTGAATATTTTCTATAATATAAATAAATAAAAATTTTCAAAATATATATATCTTAGGTATAGTATAAATATATAATTAATCATATAATATAAATTTTATCAATTAAATTTAATGCGTATATATTTATATTATTTTATTCACTATTTATCAAATCAATATACGTTCAAACTCTCAAACCCCAATCAAATTTAAACACAAAAAAATAACAAAATTCAAACTCATCTCAAAATTCAAATAAAAATCAAATTCAAATCCAAATTTTCCAAAACCGTCCTAAAAAACACACCCATAATAAAATAAAAGTATGAATAAAATGATAAATTAGAAAAGGAAAAAAAAAAGATAAAATAAATAATGGTAAAATCCAGTATAATCTTATCAAATCAAATCAAGAAGATTCTTACCCTCTCAGTTTCTCTCTCTCTCTCTCATCAACGTCTTCGACTAATTTATTTATCGTTACTATAAATTAGTTTTATAAAAAAAAATAAAAATTTTTAAAGATAATTAAAGAGTGAAAAAAATAAAAATATTTTGAGTAAATGTATTAGAAAGTGATTTATATTTGTTAAATAAATTTAAAATTAATAAATTTATTAAAAATAAAAGATTATCTTTTTGTGGAATCGACAACAAAATAAACTTTTAAAATGAATTGAAGAAGTATATTATTTTTTTTCCTAACCTAAGGCTTCAATTTTTCATTTACTTTCATCAAACAAAATAATACTAACATTTTTAAGTAATAAATGAAAAAACAAAAAAATTTCGATTCAATTCTAATATTTAATTATTTTTCTGTAAATTAAAAATATTAATATTTTTAATAATAATACATAAAAATAAATATTTTCTAGCGTATCCTATCCTCTAGTACTTCAATTTTTCTCTTGTTCTCATCAAATAAAATAATTATATTTTTAAGTAATAAATAAAAAAAATATATATTTCTTTCGTTAAATTCTAATATTTATATTTATTTTTTTAATAAATTAAAATATATTAATATTTTAACAGTAATAAATAGATATAATAATAATATTGGATTAAATTATAAAGATATAGGGTGTATTTCTTCGGCCCCAAATTTCGAGTTTTCAATGTTTGTCTTCGGGCAAATAATCTGTAGGTTAAGCTGTTTCTTTTAATTAAAATATAATTTAATATTTATTATAATTATAACGGAAAAAAATATATTCAAGTATAATATAAATTTATAATCAAATAATATTATATAAATTTTATCAATTAAATTTAATATATATTTATATTATTTTATTAATTATTTATTGAATCAATACACGTCAAAACTCTCAAACCTCAACCAAACCTAAATACAAAAAAACAACAAAATTCAAACTCATCCCAAAATTCAAATAAAAATCAAACCCAAAATCAAAATTTCCAAAATCTTCCTAAAAAACATTCCCATAATAAAATAAAAGTATAAATAAAATGATAAATAAGAAAATAAAATAAATAAGTAAATAAAATAAAATAAATAACGGATTCACTATAATCTTTATCAAATCAAATCCAGAAGATTCTCCCTCTCTCTCTCTCTTTGGCATCAACATCTTCGCCTAAAAATTCTCACCCTCCTCTTCTTCTTCAGTGCCTCCCCTCCTATAATTGATTTATTTTCACTGTTTCAAGTTTTTGTTTCCTCCTTTTCCCTTCCCGTCCGATTCCTAATGGCCAAATTCGTGTTCGAGCCAGCTAGCGACGACGAAATCGACCCTCCGGTAGACGACGAGAAGTCAACAACACACACGCCGTGGGCTTTCTCCTCCTACTCTGCTGAATCCGTCTCCGATCAGCACTTGCGCTGCCGTGTCACCACTTCACTTGACCACAAAATATCCGAAGCTCTTCAGAGATACCCTATCGCTATCCCTCAAGACAACGACTCTGATGACGACGAACATTATGATTCTGAATCCGAATCCGACAGCCAGGTACGTACGCAATTGATTGATTTGTATTCTCTATGAGAAAGAGAGAGAGACATATAATTCTAATTCTAGTAGTAATTTCGTGTTGGTCTTGATTAATATATAATATACATTGTGCAGGAGGAGGAGGATGACGGGTTAGAGCACGATGCGAACCCCTCGTTTTCCTTTTCTGATCTTCATCTTTCGAGGCCGTTGCTTCAGGCTTGTAAAGCTTTGGGTTACACTACACCCACTCCTATTCAGGTTTATTGTAATCATAATCATAAAATCTCTATCTACTGCTACTGCTACTGCTAGTAAGGTGTGAATCAATTCCCTCTTCTCTATATATATGCAATTTGTTTTTGGATTTGACAGGCTGCTTGTATACCATTGGCATTAACTGGACAAGATATATGTGCTAGTGCTGCCACCGGCTCGGGGAAGGTATTTGTGTGTTTATACTTGTGAGAACAGAACAAGGTCTGTAGTGAAAGGTCATAAAGGGGAAATAATTTGTTACTTTATTCACAATAAGAGTAAAGACAAATGAACAAAGCTTAGATTATTATTATTTTTATGGTTGGAACTTGTAGTTCTTATTCTTATTGCTATTATTAACACTTAACATGATATGCTTCTAGCTTCTTGTTATTATTATTATGATGATGATGGATATGGTATGCTTCAATTTTTTTATCAATTCTCTTCCTTTTAAGAACTACACTGTTTTTTATGATTGACAGACGGCTGCTTTTGTACTTCCAATATTGGAGAGATTGTTATACAAGCCAAAATATAGACCTGCTACTAGGGTTCTTATTCTTTCCCCCGCGAGAGAGTTAGCTGTTCAGTAAGTTTTGTATTTTAATAAAATAAAGCATGAGATATTTGTAGTATTTACTAATTTACTAATTTTCTTCTATAGGATACATAATATGATTACCAAACTCACTAAATATGTGACTGGTATTACATGTTGTTTGGTGATTGGCGGCCTGCCAATGAAGGTATGCTCATAAACTTATTTATTTGTAGCCTTTAAATATTCATCTGATTATCTTGTTTCATCCCCTTCTAAGTACTATTAAAACTTCTTGCTATTTGGAGATACAATAGTTTGCATGTGTATTAATTTTCTAGATTGAAGGATGCAAAAAAGATAGCACAAGTTAGATTCTGTGCAAGGATGTTGAAATTATAGGCTCCTTTAAACAATTGTGTATGGAGATGTATACTTGAATAATAGTAATTGGTGTTAGTATTTTGAAATGGGAATATCTCACCTAGAATTATGTGGATTTCTATTTTATGTTGTATTTATTGATATAAGATCATTTTAGGATCAAAAGTTAGCCTTGCGCGCATCTCCGGATATTGTTGTTGGCACTCCTGGACGTTTGCGTGAGTACATTAAATGTAAAAGGCTGATTCATCTTGATGAGCTTTCAGTTTTAATTCTTGATGAAGCTGATCGGCTCCTGGATACAGGATTTGTTGAGGCGGTTCAATACCTGGTATGCATCCAAATATTTGATATTTAGTAATCTTGCTTTTTGTTACAACGAGCACACTAATAACAAATTTTAGGAGTCTAGTTTTTCTTGAATCAAAGGAAATTGTCTCTGTGAAAATGGGATTGTGAAGTTGAAGTAGCATATCATTTCATCTTTGTGTGCATTGTGCAATGACTATTTCCATAGTTTTTGTGATTAGTTGCTTGAGCCTACAGACAGGAAAGGATGGTGTTTTGCATATCGGAGTTGCATAAAAATTATGCTTGGTTGAAACTCTTCAAAAAATAAAATTGATAGTGCAAATAAAGCTATTAAGCATAAGCAACAGTAAAGTAGATAAGAATACGGTGGAAAAGTTTCTACCATTTAAGTACTTTTCCTTTTATTTCAAATATTGTTTCTTAACACTTGTAGTTGTTAACGAGGATATTTTTATTTCTAAACATGTACATGTTGCTATTAAAATTTAGGTGAATATGTGCTCTAAAAGGAAGCAAACCATGCTATTTTCAGCAACCATGACTACAAATCTTGATAAGGTTATCAATCTCTCTTTAAATAAGCCGGTGCATTTGTCAACCAACAAGTCAAGTAACATGCCCACATCATTAACTGCAGAGTAGGTTATTTACTTATTTTACCTTTTCTTGCTAGTTTAATTTGGCCTTGGTTATGAAAAACCATCTAAGGAAACTTTGCCCGTTATGTGCAGGGTGGTGGATATTCGAAAGCATAATACAGATAAAAGAGCAATTCTTCTTGCATTATGCTCCAAGATCTTTACGTCCAAAGTGATCATTTTCAGGTTTTCTTTTTTTCGTCTACCAGCTTATTATTATGTTTACTTAATGTTGAGTATTATGAGTTTTATTGCATTGTTGAATGTGTTCCTCAAGTTACTAATGCTTGTAGTGAAATAGTTGAAATCTCACTATGTTCTATTTAATGTATTTCAAGGTGTAAATTTATAAGTTGAATAATCAAGCCATTATTGGATCCTCTTAAAATAATACTCTCTCCGTCCAGCTCTAAGATTTACATTTATTTTTTGTCATTGTACATAACATTAAAAGGAGTATCTCATTTCATTGGATGGAATCTGTGGGTGGCCCAGCAAACCTCTATTGAATTGGGAGGAGGGGTGGAGATAGTAATCATTCCACATTATTAACTTTTTGATCCCTTTTTTAATTTAATATTGCATTTTAAGTTGTTCTTCTTACTAGCAACTATACAAAATGATACAAAATGATGATTTTAGGATGTGAGTGGCAGTTCACTAAAAGCTATTCTTCTTGTTACCAACCATACAAAAAATGATGATTTTAAGATTTGAGTACGAGTGCATTATTTCTTAAGGCTTCTTTAATCATCTGGGACGTGGAAATCAATCCGCATGTTTAACTTCTGGATTCACTTTTTAATTTAATATTGCATTTTAAGCTATTCTTTCTACTACCAACCATTGATTTTACGATGTGTGTAGCAGCATATTATATCTTTAAGGCATTAGTGGAACTTCATACATTTGTAGCCTAGGGGTGGAAATCTATTCCACATGGTTAACTTGATTTTCTTTTAATTTAATAATTAATATTGCATTTTGAGCTATTCTTCTTGCTACCAACCATACAAAATAATGATTATTTTACAATGTGAGTAGCATTGTATTATATCTTAAGTCAATATTTGAAACATAATATGTTTATAGCCTTGTGTTTGTTTTAAACTAGCAACTTATGTTTGTGGATACGTTTTTTGTTTCTTTGAATGTTCGGGGATACTTATTTAAGACACGATGTCATGCTAATTTATTTTCTTTTATAAATTGATTGAAACCAACTAATGCACTTTTTGGGCTGAACTATGCTTTAAAAAACTTATTAATTTTATATTGTTTTTTTCAGTGGAACCAAGGCAATGACTCATCAATTGAAGATTTTATTTGGGTTAGCTCGCTTTAAAGCAATGGAGTATCATGGAAACCTAACTGAGGCTCAGCGTCTAGAAGTTAGTTCACTCAACATTGTTTATTATTATTATAATAATTATTATTATTATGATTTACATATCTTATGCACAATTCATTTGATAGGCATTGGAGCTTTTCAAAAAGCGGGAAGTGGATTTTCTAATTACAACAGATCTTGCTGCACGAGTAAGTTTTATTTTTTTATTTTGAGTGTGGTATGCTAACCATCCTCTAGCATGGTCAATATACAGGTTAAAGCAATACATAAAACTGTAATGAAGGCAAGTTGTATATCGAGATTGATTGAAAGATGTTAATAGTGAACCACTCACAGACCCTTATAATTTGTGTTGCTTCTCAATTTTTATATGATGTATTTTTGCGGTTCAACTTAGTAAAATCTTTGTTTAGTGTTAATTGAAGGACCTCTGCCGGTTCTATCTTCTTGTAATTTTTATTTCAGGGTTTGGATATATCAAGTGTTGAAACAGTCATCAATTTTGTGTGCCCACAAAATATTGAAAGGTAAAGCATGAACGCTAATCCCTCCTGGTTTTTCAGAATTTTATTGTACAAGTGTCTTGCCTAATTATTAATGTTTACCACATTTGTTCTTGATATAATAGTTGTTCAGCAGTATTCCTGAAATTATTCACTAAAAATTGATTTTGTAATATAATATGCTTAGCAGTTATATTCATAGAGTGGGTCGCACCGCTAGAGCAGGGAGAAAAGGACATGCTGTCACATTCGTTGACAGTGAAGATCGATCCTACTACAAAAAAATCAATAAATTTGTAAGTATATATCCTTTATTAGTAAAATATCTAGTTTTGTTTTATTTTGCAATATTATTGTTGTTTTATCATTTGATTGAGGACTTCTTTGGGTTTCAGCCACATTTCCCTTTTCCTAAAATATTTTTGTACTTGGTAGTACTATGCAACCGGTGAAGTACCACGTGTTAAATTTATTTGAGATGACTAATTTGTTATCATTTGTCAACATGCGGTTTTAGTAAGCTAAAATTGTCAAAGAGGTCACCCGTCTTCTTAACTCTGGAGTTTTATCAATTTGGCTACGGAATAGATATGCATATTGTTGATATAAATAATCTTCGTAATCTTCATCAAAGTCTGTGTATCACAATAGTCTTTTCATGGATGGATACTTTGATGTGTATTAAGTGGAATCTTGTTACTAATATCTTGGAAGAATATGGCAGGTTAAAAGTGTTTGCTCCGGAAGGGGGCTGACGAAGCGAGTTGTCTCTTCGGAATCAATAGAAAGGTGGTCTGAAACAATTGAGCAAATGAAAAAGGCCGTAGGATGGATTAGGAAAAAAGAACGGTAACTTAGTTTGACATCTCTTATACAAGTATATGATTGTTAGCACAAACTATTAATGTTTTTTTTTTTTGTTCTTTTCGTTGTTTAATTATGGCAGGGAAGAATGTTTAATTAGGAAAAGGATTAAGGTATTTGTTTATCTGCATTTAAATTATTTTTCAGAATATTTAGTTGTGCAATATAGAATAATATGGATGTTGTAATATTGTAGAAGGATGCTGTACTTATTGTTTCTAACTAGTTTCTTGGGATATATGGTTGAATTGTTTAGGAGAAAAAGAAGAATGCAGCTGCGGCAGCAATGGTAATTTCAAGTTTTCTTTGATTTGTCTTGTTTGTCTAATTGGTGTTAGTATTTTCAATTAGTATAAATACATACATATATACATAGATGCAGACAAGTTACTAGTGACATATATTATAATATATCTATAAAGAATTTATATATTTTTTCTAGGAAGAAGCTATTGCCAATATGAAGTTGATTAAAGCAAAGGAAAAAGAAGAAAGGAAGAAAGCAAAGAAGGAAGAGAAGAAGAGGAAACAAGCGGAGGAGGTACTTACTGTACTGGCAGCTCTTTCTTGTACATCTTAATTTGTAGATTTATTTTTTTTGCATGTATTGAGTGAGATATGTATGATGATTAATGTATGTACGTGTGTGTTTTGTGAAGAAAAAATTGACGAGGAGGAAACGAAGGAAGTTGGAGGCCAAAAAAGAGAGAGATTAGAATTGGGAATTCCCTTTAAGGTAACAAGTTTGTATAATAATGTTTGTTTCTATTTTTGTCCCATTCCTATAAATTTGGAATTTTGAAGCTGCTAATGTTAATTAGTTTAGACTAACAGACTTGTTAGATATAATTAAGGGTTGGTTGGTTTGTTTCAATTCGTTGTGGTTTATTATTAATATTTGCTTTTGATTCGACGGCATCATATATTGGTATTATTATTATCGTTATCCGAGTAGCTAGGTTTGATTCGTAGGATTAGTTGAATATTATTTTCGAGTAAAGTGTGTTTGTGTGAAGGATCATATGGCCAATTTAGCTTTTTGTTGGTCACCATCAGTTCTAGGCCAACTAGGCTAATTAATTTTTGTACGCTTAATTGTTCAAGAAAGATCTAAAAAGAAATGCCAAGTTACAAAATATATCTCCGTCAGGCTTGTCTTTTTTTTTTTTTTTCTTTTTTCGTTTTGATCTTTGAATAATTTTGCGTCTTATATTTGAATATTAATTATTAAAAAAAATGGTAAAAATAGTTCTACTTCTATGTTATAATACTATTACTAAAATCGGACGGAAGTAGTATATGAAAATATATAAATCTGGTAGAATTTATAAAATGCGTTTGTTATATTGAGAAATAAGGTTATTAAAGTAGTAGAAAATAATTGGGTTGTTTTTTGGGGTGGGCCGAGGGTTTTGAGTTTTGACTTTAACACTATCTTAATACGATTTTCTGAAGAAAAACCCAAGCAGTAACATACTTTTAGTAGCTATTTATAGATATGTTTGGATTGATCAATTACAAAATAATAATTTTATTAAATATTTTATTTTTTTGATAAATATTTATACTTTATTTTCATATCATTATTTTTATAACAAAAGCTAATGATTAATTTGTCTTTACATTATTTTTAATTATCAAATATAATTAAAATACTATTATTTCTTAAACTCAACAATAAAAGTAAAGGTAGAGAGTACATCATATATGATATATTCCAAACTTCTATTTCTCTTCAATAAATAAATATTTTTATCTAAATTTAAAATTTTATATTCTATAAGTTAAAATAATGTGCTGCCACTTATATTGTAAAATTGTTATTTATATTGTAAAATTGTTATTATTTGTATTGGACGATAGTAAGAAGAATAGCAATATTAATTTATTTTTCTTTTTAAATAAAAGAAGTTAACATTATTTGTATGGTTGGTAATAAGAAGAATATATCAAAATGCAATGCTAAATTAAAAAAATATAAGAATAATAATTAAGAAGTTAACCATATTGAATAGATTTTCACCTTTAGGCTACAAATGCAATAGTCGGTAATAAAAAAAAGTATTTCAAAATGCAATATTAAATTTTAAAAAAAATAAATTAAGAAGTTAACCATATTGAATAGATTTTCACCCCTAGATTACAAAAAATACCTTAAGAAATAATGCACTGACAGACACATTCTACAATCATCATTATTTGTCAGGTTGGTAACAAAAAAATAATTTAAAATGCAATATTAAATTAAAAAAAAAAAAAAGAATCAAGAAGTTTGACCATGTGAAATTGATTTCCACCTCCTAAGCCATAAATGTATGGAGTTTTAAATATACTTTAAAAAATAATGCATTGACACTCACATTGTAAAATCATCATTTTTGGTATGAATGATAGTAAGATGAATAATTTTTATGTAATATTAATTTTTTAAAAAAAAAATCAAGAAGTTAATAATGTGGAATGCATTTTTACCCAACAATAAATGTATGAAATTTTGAAAATACCTTAACAAATAATGCACTGCCACTCATCTTGTAAAATCATCATTTTATTTTTTTTATAATTAGTAATAAGAAAGAACAATTTAAAAATACAATATTAAATTAGAAAATGAATATATATATATATATAAAGTAATCATATTGAATGGATTTCTAACCCCACTCGCACCCCAAATTCAATACGGAATATTTTATTCACGAGAATTTATGAGGAGTATAATTAGTAATTAATTAAAAATGTATTAATAAAAATAATAATTATTTAATAAAATAATTTTAAATTAAAATTAAGATAACTAATTAGTATAATTAAAATTTAAAAAGTTATAAATTAAAAATTTTTAAATAGGATTAAAGTGTATAATTCTTTTCCGAGAAATGAAAGAGACAGAAGAAATGAGACAAACGAAAATGAACACAGTAAATGAGATGGAAGGAGTATTACTTTAAGAGGTTCCAATAATGATTTGATGATTCAACTTATAGTTATACATATATACATTTTGAAATATATTAAGAGGGTGTTTGGTAATGAATTTTTTAAATAGTTTTTAGCTTATTGAATAACTTTTAGGAGGGTGTTTAGTAAACCACTTTTTTAAGAGCTTTTAGCTGTTTGACATTAAATCAGCTAATTTTGGGTGTTTGGTAAATTAGCATTTTCAATTAGCTTATTGAGTCCAAAAAGTTAATTTTGAAAAAGCTATATACCAACGTTTCAGATTAGCTTTTTCATTTTAATTTTTATTATTCCTTATTTGTCCGTAAAATTAATTAATTCTTTCACATATATTAATATATTTTTTTATTACACTATTTTATTAATTATATAAATATATTTTCTTTTAAAAACTTATAAATTCATATTTATAACTTTTAAATAATTATTTTTTTATATGTCAATTATTTTATTTATAATTTTTAAAATTTTTTTTTAAAATAAAGATAATATAATAATATTAATATTGTTGAATCAATTATATAGCATTTTTTATCACATAATATTTTTATTAAAAATAAATATATTTATTTAAAATTATAAATTTAATGTAAATATATATTAATTAAAAATTAATCTAATAAAAATATATATGTTAACAATTTTTGCTCTTTTATATTTATACTATTTCTAATGAAAAAAATATATTTTTCAATAAACTTGCATTAATTCTTTACAAAAGATTTTCAAAAAAAATAATATCTTACTAATTTTTTTCTAATTTTTAAAATTAATAATAAAATTATAAAAAAGTCTACCCACCAAAAATACTCAATTAAATATTTTGAAAATAAAATATAAAATGTCCTTAATTGTCATTTTACGTATAAACAGCTAATATCAAACCGCTATTATTTCCAAACACTTTAATATAAACATAATCAAATCGGCTAGTCAAACCCTCTAATTGAATCAGCTAACAGCTAATTGAATCAGCTAACAACTAACAGCTAATTCAATCAGCTAACAGCTAATTCAATCAGCTAACAACTAACAGCTAATTGAATCAGTTATCAGCTAATTGTCAAACCCACGATAGATATTTGACTAGTCAAATATCTAATTTTCCGTTTAAAATTTTTTATTCCTTATTTTCCCTTACAAATTTATTATACATTTTACACAAATAAATATATTTTTATTATTTATTAATTATATCAGAATATTTTATTATATTATAGTTTTACTTTTAAAAATTTAAAATAATTAATTTTTATTTATAAATTTATTAAAATTAACACAAAATAGAAAATATAAATATTAATAATTTATTTTTATATTAAAATTACATTATATAAATTTTATACTAAAAATAAATTAAATTTATTGAAAATTATAAAAATAATGAAATCGTTACTTAACATAATAAATATACATAAAAAATTATTATTTTATATTTTATATCATTTTCAATAGAAAAAAATATTTATATTTTTTAATAAAAATATATTATTTTTAAAATCTAACTATAATAAAAATAAATACTATTTTAGGACACTTTTACAATTTTCAATAACTAATAACAAAAATTTCAAAAATTCTAAACTCAAAATAACACAATTGAATATATTAGAAAAAATAAAATAGAAATGTCTTCAATCGTCATTTTACGTATAAATAGCTAAAATCAATTAGTTATTTTACCTAGCTAATTGAATTCACTAGTCAAACCAGCTAATTGAATGAGTTAACAACTATCAGTTAATTGAATAAGCTAACAGCTAACCGTTATCAGCTAATTGTCAAACACCCCCTAAATAGATCATGGTGAGGTTTCAATTGTTTCACTACAGACATTGCAATTATTAGGATCTTAAAGAACATATTCAACTATACAAAAAAAAAAAAAAATTCAAAATACTTAACATTAAGTAAAAGATAAAAATAAGCCGTTAAAGAAAATACGTGAAAATGATCACTTTAGATGTAAAGATCTTGGAGCATAATGCAAAAAGAATTGTATTATGCTTTCAAATATGCACCAACCTGTACGTAACATGCAAAGTTTTTGTGGATGGTTTTATATAACCAAGATCATATTAACATAAAATTATTCTAGAATTAATAGGTAAATAACCGATTCTAAGTTAATAATATTGACAAGTTACTTGATTTGTTGATTGACAAATACATTGTCTTATTTAAGAGAGATTGATAAACTTATCAACATTTGTAGTCATATGGTTGCTACAAATAACATGATTTGCTTCTTTTTTGAGCACGTATTCACCCAAAGTTGAATAGTAATATACAAGTTTAGAAATAAATTATTCTAATTAATAATTATAAATGTCAAAGAAAAAATTATTTAAAATAAAAGAAGCCGTACTTAAAAAGTAGAAACTTTTCTACTGATCTTATCTATTTTAGTATTGCTTATACTTAATAGCTTTATTGCACCAATCGATTTTATTATTAGAGATTTTCAACCAGGCAAATAATTTCCATGCAACTTCGATAAGCAAAACAGTTTCCTTTCAGTTGTTGACTTAAGCAACTAATCACAAAAAACTGTGATTCAAGAACAACGCACAAAAAAAAAAATGATATACTAATTCAGCTTCACAATCTCATTTTCACGGGAAAATTCCTTTTATTCAAGAAAAACTAGACTCCTAAAGTTTATAATTCGTGTGTTCGTTGTAACAAAGAACATGATAACTAAATATAAAAATTAGATACATACCAGGTACTTAAATGTCTTGTGAAATTCTGTATCTAGAAGCCGATTAGCTTCAATAATTAAAACTAAAAGTTCATCAAGATGAAATAGCCTCTTATGTATATAATGTACTCAAGCAAGCGTCCATGAGTACCAAACGATATATCTAGAGATACGCAGAAAGCTAACTTTTGATCTTATATCAATAGATA